AAAATGGAATATCTGCCATTAAGGCACCTCTCTACAGCCACTCGAACCAAACAACATATCTCTGATTGTTGCTAAAGTTTCATAATTGGCTCTACGACTATGATCATAATTTTGTTTGCTCGGCTGCCATGCTGTTAATTGAGTTGGCATTGGTGCATTGACAGGAATTGTTTCGATACCATTTAATGCAAATAAACGACGTGTTCTTGGCATATGGTAACGATCGGTAATTAATAAGACTGTAGGTGCACCACCTTTCTTCTGTAAAAGTAATGAGCTAAAGCGTGTATTTTCACAGGTGTTCATGCTTCTATTTTCTAATAGTTTTGCTTGAACACCGCGCTCAGATAACCATTTTTGCATATAGGGTGCTTCTACACCACTCAGCACAATAGGAAGTTTAACCTTCTCTTCTAAGGCTAAGGTTGTTTCAAGTCTTAGTTTGGTATAGTCATTCACAATAATGTCTTTTTGATTTTTATCTAAAGTTAAACCACCGCCCAAGACTACAATTGCATAAGGTTGACTGATTGGCTTCGGTTGTTCACTGGTTTTGGTAGGCAAACTTTCAAGATCTTCTTGTACTTGTGAACTGGACAATTCATTTGCCAATGTGTGTGAATTTTCTTGAAGTAATTTTTCATCAATTTTATGTTTTTTTAAGAATGTTAAATATTCATCCATTAAAGCCTTATTGTCTTCACTATTTAAATCCAATAAGTTTTTAACCACATCGTTCGATTGATTCTCAACAACCTCTGATGCAGCATGTTCAGACACCAATGGAATTACTGGTTTGTTTTGTTCTTCATCATCATTTTTTTGATCTTCAGCAATTTTTTCTTGCAAGGCTTTATATCGTAATTGGAGTAGCATTAAATCCTGAGCATTTTTACTCTTAATCGCTTCATCCATCAGCTTAAGATAGGCTTGTCGAGCAATCCATAAATCAGAACCAGGTTCTAAGTTTTCAGCCTCCGAAAGTGCAGCATTTTGTTGGCTCTTTGCCGCCACCTGATTCACTTCAACTGGAACAATGCTATTCAGGATTTTAACCATCATTGTCGAATAAAATGGCGTGTACCAAAAAACGACCAAACAGCCGAATAATACAAATAATATGGCAATTATTCGTAGAAATCTGACCATCCAATGCGGTTTGACCATATATTTACTCAATTTAATGGTTTTCGATTAACCCTAATTCATTATAAAGCACAGGTTCAGGTTCTAAGTACACACCAAACTTCTCAAAAACATCTTTTTGTACTGCCTGATACGTTGCGCGTACATCTGTCAGTGTTGCATCAGCATAATTCACCAATACCAAAGCTTGTTTATGAAACATTCCCACCTGATTAAGCTGTTTACCTTTCCAACCTGATTGATCAATCAACCAACCCGCTGCAATTTTAACGTGATTCCCTGCTTGAGGATAATGTGGAATATTAGGGAATTTTGCAATTAATTGTGAAAACTCTTGTTGCTTAATAATCGGATTTTTAAAGAAACTTCCCACGTTTGGATATTCTTTTGGGTCTGGAAGTTTACTTTGTCGAATATGAATCACTTGCTTTTGTAAGTTTTCAGCACTCATATCATCCATCATTGCATCTTTTAAATCCCCATAATTTACTTTTAAATCAGCATGTTTAAGTAATTTAAAAATCACATGGGTAATCACATAACGATCTGGGTCATCTTTAAAAATACTGTGTCGATAAGAAAACTGGCAATCTTGCGCTTGAATTGAAAGTGTCAGTGCTGATTGACGATCGTAGACTTCTACAGATTGAATAAATTCACCGACTTCAACACCATACGCGCCAATATTTTGCACAGGCGATGCGCCGACTAAGCCCGGAATCAAAGCCAAGTTCTGTAAACCATAAAGTTGTTGCGTTGTCGTCCACAATACAAAGTCATGCCAAACTTGCCCTGCACCCACTTTGATTGTTTTACTTTCGGCATCTTCACTTAAAAATTCAATACCTTGTATATCTATAGCAACTACAAGCGCATGAATATGCTCAGGCAGCATCATATTGCTGCCCCCTGAAAGCAGTAAAACGTTTAAATCGTGTGCTTTAGAAAACTGCAACGCTTGTTGAAGATCTACGATAGATTGTATTTTGACATAATGTGATGCAATCGAGTTCAAACTCAATGTATTAAAGGGTTTGAGCTGAACCTGTGATTCAATATTCATAACTTAAATTTATTTCCTAAAAATATTTCAATCACTTGCATTAAAACTGTTGTTGAAACACATGTACCCAAGCCAAACTACTCGATTCACACTGATCAAGTACACGTTCAAATCCATCAGCTTCACCGTAATAAGGATCTGGAAGCGCCTGTTGTGGATAAACGTGATCATGCTCACTCATTAAAGCAATTTTAGCTTTGATTTGAGCAAGACCAAATTGACTACTGGCTTGGTTATACACATGCTGTATATCCGCAAAATTCTGATGATCCATGGCAAGAATCAAATCAAACTCTAAAAAGTCTTGTATTTTTAATTGTCTAGCACGTAACCCAGAAAGATCATAGCCTCTTTTTATTGCATGTTTTTGACTGCGACTATCAGGTGATTTATTTGGATGATAATTGCTCGTTCCAGCTGAATCCACAACTACATTTAATCGTTTTTCATCACAATAGTGTCGTAAAACCACCTCTGCTGTGGGTGAGCGACAAATATTTCCTAAGCACACACATAAAACTTTGTATGGCATTTTGGATGACATAACAACCTCAAATGATCATTTCTTTTATAAAGTCTTATGTTAAGTTATTTAGCAGGCGAATCCTATAGAACCTTAAAACAATAATGTTTAATTTGTGATGATAGATTAAGGATAATACATATGAGTCATTTTCAATTCCAAACTGTAGCCAATATTATTTCAGGTTTAGGATCAATCCAAGAGCTCAGCACAGTATTAGGCAATCAATACCACAAAGCATTAGTCGTGACAGATGCAGGCATGATTCAACATGCACTGCATTTGCCACTATTAAAAATTTTAGCGCAATGTAATTTAGACTATGAAATCTATGCTGATGTACAGGCAGATCCAGCAGAGCAGATTGTTTTATCGGCAGTTCAATTCGCCAAAGAGAATCAAGTAGATGTGGTTATTGGCTTTGGTGGTGGTAGTTCCATGGATGTTGCCAAACTCATTGCGATATTGGCAAATCCAAAGCAATCACAAAGTATTCAGGAAATCTATGGGGTCAATAATGTCAAAGGCCCTCGCCTTCCTTTAATTCTTATTCCAACCACCGCTGGTACAGGTTCTGAAGTCACCCCCATTTCAATTGTCACTACAGGTGAAACCACCAAAACAGGTATCGTTTCCCCCATTTTATATGCCGATGTGGCAATTCTAGATGCAACATTTACTTCAGGCCTACCTGCACATATCACAGCAGCAACAGGTATAGATGCGATGGTTCATGCCATTGAAGCCTATACCTCTAAAATTAAAAAGAATTTTTATGCAGACATGCTTGCTAAACAAGCCCTTAAACTTTTAAATAAAAATTTAAAATTGGTCTTGGCGGATGGTACAAATTTAGCAGCTCGTCAAAATATGCTGGTTGGCTCTATGCTTGCAGGACAGGCTTTTGCCAACGCTCCTGTAGGTGCTGTACACGCTTTAGCATACCCCTTAGGTGGTCATTTTCATTTATCACATGGGCATACTAACGCTTTGGTTTTATTGGAAGTGTTAAAATTCAATGCGCCTAATGCAAAAGCACATTATGCAGAGTTAATGCAATGGCTTGATCCCTATAGTAAAGGCAGTACAGAAGGCTTATGTGACTTATTTATTGATCATATGCAAAGACACTTGGATCACAGTGGTTTGACTTTGAAGTTACGCGATTTAAATGTACAAGAGCAGCAACTCGATAGATTGGCATCCGATGCAATGCTACAAACACGTCTTTTACAAAATAATCCGAGGCCTCTACTCCACGCAGATGCATTAAAAATTTATCAGGCGATTTATTAAAATTTATCAGCATTAATAGTGCACTGATTTATTGAATGCGCTTTTAAATAGACTTCTTTCATAAGTACTTTTTAAAACCATAAATCAACATAAAAGCACCCTCATCCTAGCCTTCTTCCAGTAGGAGAAGGCACTTTCAATAACAATATGAATCACTCCACATGATCATTTTTTGATTTATGAAAAGATCTTTCATCAACATGAAGCACAATTGAGACATACTCGCTGAGTGTTTTATTTAAAAGTATCAAAATATCTATCATATGACCTATAATTTGTGTTTGAAATATGCGGCCTGCATCAGATCAAATCGACCTAAATTTTGAACAAAATTTATAATCTTGTAAAAATACAGCATTAAAATTAAACTTGATTATTCTCAAAATATGAAAAAAACCATCTTATTGCCTCGTTTTGTTATATTTTTTAATCAATCGAACTTATAGTTTTTTTAAAGATTTTATTTAAAAATGATTAATTATCAAACTATTAACCCATTAAACGTTTATTTTATGACTAGCTAGTAATTAGTTTTTATTTAATTTTTATTTAATTTTTAAAATAATTACTCTAAAATCGCGACAGATCTTAATCGGAAAATTAAGACAACTAGTATTGGAAAATGATTCTATGAAAAAACTTACATTAGCAATTCTGCCATTAGCAGCATTTGGATTAAGCAACGTTTCTCACGCAGCAACTTCAGATGGTAAAACTTTTGGTGTTTCTGCTGGTTGGTTACATGTTATGCCTCAAAGTAAAGGACAAGGCGTAAATGGTAAAACTGGTAATAGTCCTTACTTAGGTCCTTTGGCGAATATACAAGCCAATAACCCAGATGCAGGCTTTGAAGTACAAAATGCGGATACAGCAGGCTTAATGCTTGATTATTTTGTCAATGACAATGTTTCGCTTGAATTAACTTTAGGCGCTCCTCCTGAAATGGAGCTTGCTGGTAAAGGTAGCATTAAAGTTCATGGTGTTACTGTCGTTGATCTAAATAAATTTGATAAAGCTGCAACAACAGATGCTTATACACCAACGCTTTCTGGTCGTTATCACTTTGGTTCAATCAACAACAAGATCCGTCCTTATGTAGGTGCAGGCTTAATGTATGCTCATTTCTCAAATGTTGAGACTGATTCAGCAATCAATGATGCATTAAAAGCCAATCCTTTACTTGGTCGATACAATCCAGAACTAGGTAAAGTTAAAGTTGATGACGCGTTTGCACCTGTTGCAATCCTTGGCGCAGATTTCAATATCAACAAAAATTGGTATGCAACTGCTTCTGTTTCATATGCGCATTTAACAACAAAAGCAAAATTAAATGTTAATGGTACAACGCCAGCTGGACAAACTACTTTAATTTCAGGCCAAAGCAGCATTGAGATTAAACCAATCGTGACTTATTTAGGTCTTGGTTATCGTTTCTAATCAATTTGGACTGAATCAGTTCTAAATTGTAAAAGCTCATTAGGTTAGACTTAATGAGCTTTTTTATTTTTTTCACTTGAATATAGTTGCACTGTGTTAAAACACTTGTAAACAAATGCAAAATTCATCTATAAAGTTACTTGTTTATAAAGCTTTGCAAAGCCTTGGCTTGGTGATTGATCACAAAAGCACTGTTAATTTTTTATCTATTCGAATGAATAATCCAAATGAAACCAGAAATAAAATTACGTACCCAATACTCCTTTATCTTCCCCATCCAAACACGTTGGGCAGACAACGATATTTATGGTCATGTGAATAATGTGACTTATTATAGTTATTTTGATACTGCAGCGAATGCACTCTTGATCCAAAAAACCGACTTTGATATACATCACTCACCCATCATTGGTTTGGTGGTAAATTCTTCGTGTCATTTTCTCGAAGAACTCACCTATCCAGAAATTATTGAGGTTGGGGTCGCCATTGCAAAAATTGGTAATTCATCACTGAGCTATGATCTGGCTATTTTCAAACAGGGTAAAACTGAAGCTTCAGCACAAGGTCAATTTGTACATGTATTTGTAGAGCGTGAGACAAAGAAAAGCACCCCGATTCCACAAAAAATGCGAGATGCTTTGCAAAACTATATGCTTTAAGCCTAAAGCTAAAAATCGACGCTTAAAATAGCTTAAAACCGATAGCATAAAAATAAAACATCATTTTAAGCCAACGTATTTTGATCCCAAAAAGCCTGACTCACTTCAGGCATTTGATTTAACATTTCAATAATCGGCTGAATTTCTTTTTCCTCAACGGAGTTCGCAATCAAAATCGCCTTAATTTCCACATCTTGCTCACCAAACGGTTCTACATCAAAATCTTTAGCAGGAAAATGATAACGCTTTAAAGCTTTATTCAGCTCATCCATGACATATTTACTGTGCTCTTTTTGACAAACCACATAAATTTCATGTTGCATTTCCGAATCAACATTTAACGGCTTACGGTCGATAATATGTCCAATAGGACGTAATAAAGTATTGGCAGCTAAAATAAATATCGTCGCCAATATTGCTTCCACCAAACGGTCACAACCTGCCGCAGCACCGACAGCAGCAGAACACCACAAGGTCGCAGCAGTATTGAGTCCTTGAATATTGCCTTCTTGGCGCATGATTACCCCTGCGCCAAGAAATCCAATGCCAGAAACCACATAAGCAATCACCCGTACTGAACCATCAGCACCTGTTAAGTTATTGGCAATATCAACAAATATAGCAGCGCCAAGTGCGACTAATACATTGGTTCTTAAACCTGCTGTACGCTGCCTATACTGTCGCTCAAACCCGATCAATCCCCCTAAAATAAAAGCGCCAAGTAAACTAATCAAGGTATCTAGCATATTCGCTAATTCTAGACGTTGAATGAATTGGAGTTGCATTGGAGTTCTCCATTACCAGCCGTAACGACGGATGTAAATTTTTTTCATCAGTTGCACAACCAGCATGTAGCCAAGCAAGATGAAAGGTAAAAATAAGAAATAAGTTAATGGTAAAGCTTGTAATTTTAAGTACTCAGCAAAAGGCCCCATTGGTAAGAAAATACCTGCAGCCACAATGACCAAGGTCATGACTATCAAAGGCATTGCCGCACGACTTTGAATAAATGGTATTTTTTCTGTACGAATCATATGCACAATAATCGTTTGTGTTAATAATCCTACGACAAACCAACCTGACTGAAACAAGGTTTGCTGTTCTGGTGAATTTGCATGAAATACAAACCACATGAGAGCAAAGGTCAAAATGTCAAAGATCGAACTAAGTGGCCCAAAGAAAATCATAAAACGGCCAATTTCATTTGGTTTCCAGCTTTGCGGTTTTTCGATCAACTCATCATCAACATTGTCAAATGGAATGGCGATTTGTGATACATCATAAAGTAAGTTCTGTACCAGCAAATGAATCGGTAGCATTGGTAAAAACGGAATAAAAGCACTTGCTACTAATACCGAAAAAACATTACCAAAATTTGAACTTGCCGTCATTTTGATATATTTCAGCATATTGGCAAATGTACGTCGTCCCTCTAGCACGCCTTCTTCAAGCACCATTAAACTTTTTTCAAGTAAAATTAAATCTGCTGACTCTTTGGCTATATCCACTGCTGTATCAACCGAAATTCCAATATCAGCACTACGTATCGCAGCCGCATCATTGATTCCATCGCCTAGAAATCCAACCACATGTCCATTCTCTTTCAGCTGCATCACAATACGTTCTTTGTGAACTGGACTTAATTTGGCAAATACCTGTGTATATTCAACGGCAAATTTTAGTTCTTCATCAGTCATGTTCTCAACATGCCCACCTAAAAGAACATGTTCACAGTCCAGACCAAGTTCTTTGCAGACCTTTTGAGTAACAAACTCATTATCACCTGTAAGCACTTTGACATTGACGCCATGCGCTGCCAATTGAGCTAAAGCAGGTGCAGCGGATTTTTTAGGAGGATCCAAGAAAGTTAGATACCCAGTTAAAATCAAATTACTTTCATCTGCGACAGAAAAGTCATCTGATCTCCCACTAAAATCTCGATACGCGATAGCAATAACACGTAAACCTTCAAGATTAAATTGGCGTATTTTTTCTTGAATCGCCTCAAGATGGTCTGGTGTTAATAGCTCAATCTTGTCATTTATCTCTATATGCGAACAGACTTTCAGCATTTCCTCTGCCGCACCTTTAGTGATGATACGTGCGTTACCTTGTAAGGTTCTGACCACTACTGACATACGTCGACGCACAAAATCAAACGGTACTTCATCAAGCTTCTTAAATTTAAAATTTAGATCCTGTAAGTCTTGTGCAGCATGGTCCAAAATTGCAGCATCCAGTAAATTTTTCAGCCCTCTTTGGTAATAGCTATTTAAGTAAGCCTGTACCAATACACGTTGTGATGTCTTGCCATTTACATCGACATGTTGTGATAAACAAATTTTATCCTCAGTCAAGGTACCTGTTTTATCTGTACATAAAACATCCATTGCGCCAAAATTTTGAATCGCATCTAAACGCTTAACGATAACTTTTTTACGAGATAAAAATACTGCACCTTTGGCCAATGTTGAGGTCACGATCATCGGCAACATTTCAGGTGTTAAACCCACAGCTACAGATAAAGCAAATAGCAATGCTTCACTCCAATCACCTTTGGTAAAGCCATTTATAAATAATACAACTGGCGCCATGATCAACATAAATCGAATCAATAACCAACTGACTTTATTTACCCCCATTTGAAATGAAGTCGTTGCACGATCTGCATGGGATACTCGGTGTGCCAATGCCCCAAAATAGGTTTGTGTCCCAGTATTTACCACCACCGCTTTTGCAGAACCAGACACAATATTGGTTCCCATAAAAACAATATTTTCCAGTTCCAATGCATTTTGCAGGGTGTGATCTTTTTGATCAGCAAACTTTTCTACAGGAATAGATTCACCTGTCATCGACGCTTGTGAAACAAACAGATCTTTTGCAAAGATAATTCGACAATCCGCAGGGATCATATCTCCAGCAGATAGTAAAATAATGTCACCAGGGACCAAATCTTGGATCGCAAGTTCAACCTGTTGAGATCCTTGATCTAAGTCATATTGCATGGTTTCAAGGTCTGGATCATCCCAATCTACTTGACGAATCACGGTAGCTGTATTACTCACCATTGCTTTTAATGCAGCGGCTGCCTTATTTGACTTAAATTCTTGCCAATAGCGCAGTACCGTAGAAAGTACAACCATGGTTGTAATAATGATTGTGCCTTCTATATCGTCGGTAAAGAAAGCCACCAAAGCCAAAATGGTAAGTAAAATATTAAATGGATTGCGATAGGCATACCAAAGATGCTTCCACCACGGCAGTGGTTTTTCATGTGCAAGCTCATTTAATCCAAATTGTTCTTGTCGTTGTTCAACCTGCTTTGCTGACAAGCCTTGCTCTGTTGTATTTAAATGATTGAGCAATTGCTCTGAAGCTACATAGGAAGCATTGATCAAACTTTGTGAAAGCTTTTTACTAATTTCACTGGCATAACTGGCTTGATGTAATTCTTTAAATGAGCGATGACGTTCAAATAAGTGTTGAATATGATATTTTTTGATGAAATTAGAAAATAAACGTTGCCATAGATTATGAAGCATAATGTTCTCCTTTTTTGGCAATAAAGACTTCTTCCTATTGAACAGGAATTGAATTAGATGATTTTTTTATGAGCTTAAAATTGGTGAGAAACTCAGCTCCCAGCCCAAACCAACAATCATGATGGTGGTCAAATCGATCTGCATAAGCCACTTGGACCCTGACAAAATCTTGAATCAACTCATAACCAAATGCGGTTTGAAAAAATACAGACTGATGATCTTGATTAAAGATTTCTGCACTGAGCGAAGTTTTAGCATTGATCCAATAATTGCTTGAAATTGCAGCTAAAACATACTGAGTATTGCCCTGATGTTCATAGGAGATGTTGCCATTTAAAAATAACCGATCATCCAGTAATAAATAAGTTACGGGGAGATTCACTTTCCAACTAGAGTGGTCATCACCATACATATTTCGGCTTATTGTTAAGGATGCGGCAGCGCCCCAACTATTCGACTCCACTGCTTTCAAATTACGTTTGAATTGACCTGATATCACATCATGACGATTCTTATTTTGAACATGATCATCCAACTGAAAACTTAATTCCAAATTTTTGGCGATACCACATACTGGAGAAAAACTGGAATTAACCTCCTGATGTTTATAAAAATTTATATTACTTTCAAAATGGCAAGTATATAGATCAGCAACAGTTGCATCATCTGTGATTAATACAGGATCTGCATATGCTGATTTATGAATAATAAGTAATAAAAAGCAGCCTGTAATCAGTGCTGTTTCTATCATACAAAGTTGATTGATTACCATCCGTAATCCTCATTGCTGAGGCGGTATGAATCTAAGTGCGCACAAAAACAAGCCAAAATTGAACTAATTAAAGTCAAAATTGAGCTGCTTCACGTCAAAATGGGGATGTAGTTTAAAATCAGATTATAACTGTCTCATTGCAAGACAGCTTTCCTAAAGGCAGTGCTCTCTTGCTCAGATACGAATAATGGCTGTATATAAACTACAGCGCCTCGATGAACAATTTGCCACTTAGGGTCTCCGCTAATTAAAGTTGCCGCAATTATAACCATAAAAATATTTAAAACAAGTGATTTTCAGCATAACAACGCCCATAAATGCCAGATTGATCATCATAATTTGAATTAAAATTCTTATATAAATTGAGAACCTGATGAGATTTTAAAATGATTTACCTTGGCACAGGCCGAAAAGGATTGTGAATATTCCCTAAATTTCGGCAAAATACAGTGGAATAAAAACAAGCCCAATTCCAGTGAAATTGAGCTTGTTTAAAACGATATTTAATCGAAATATTGTTTAAAATCAGGGTCTGTTGACAATTCGTCTACATTTGCGACTACGTGTGTTTTTTAGGCGATACTAGGCACGAAATACGAAATTTAGTCATTCTAAATGAGTAGTTCGTAACAACGTAGCGGCAAAAAACACACTAGTCCCGAAGGGTTGTGGCTAAAATTATCTCAGCCTGTGTTATGAAACTCGAAAATAGTCTCGCTATTCTCTTCGTTTCCTGCCTTGCCTGCTCAATTTTAACCTACAACGCAAGCCATTTATGAAATGTCTACAGACCCTAAGCTTTGAGCTGAATATTTTCCAACTTTCCATCCAATGCTTCAATTAAGCTTTTAACCAAAGGCTCTTTTTGAAGCATTTCACTGGCACGATCATAAGCTCGAAGCTTACGCTCGTTTTGCATCATATACGGTGTGGTCGACTCAACTTCACCATATTGCACTGTAAATAGCGTATTCGGCCACTGCTGTTTTAATTTTGCCTCAAGGTCATGTTGTGCTTGGTTCAGTAATTTTTCATATTTTTGTGAAGTTTGAAAAATAGATTGACCATTCACATCCCCTGTCATTAATCCATGCTGTGCAAGTTCTTGAACAGCTGGAGAAAGTGAGCTATTTCTAAACCAATACTCCCATTTTTCAACCGTCCACTCACCTTCTAAGACCTGTAATTTTAAAGCAAGTATCTGTTGCGGCGTTTGTTCCTCAGAAGAGGATCCACGTTCTATTTCAGGGATAATATTAGAAACTTGAGCTGGAGTATCTGTTTGAGAATGAATAGGCTCAATCAATTCAATTTCAACATTTTGATCCTGATTTTCAGGTGCTAAAAAGAATACATCTTGATTTGGACTAGACGGAGACGTGGTATTTTTCGGTTGACTCAACTCAGCACCAAACAAGGTTAAACTTGGTTCTGCATTTTCTACGTCAATTTTCTCTTGAACAATTGGCGGCTGCGCTTCAACACCTTGACTATTATGAGCCGTTGCTTCAACCACAGTGCTTTGTTGTACTTCCTCAGCAAAGTCATCTAAATAGTCATCACTACTCGGTTCATGGTCAACACTTTGCTGTTGAGCTTGCTGATCTTCAACTTGGTCAAAAGCAGGGTCTAAATCACTCACTACATTCTGTGAATTGATCTCAACCTGCGCTTGCTGTACCTCCGCTAACGGTGCGTCAGTTTCTGATTGAGAACTCACATCCAAAGCTACATTTTGTTGTTCACTGTTTTTTTCAACAGGTACTTGCTGAGCCTGCTGTTGATGAGCTGGCTCTTGCTGAATCTGTGCTTGTTGCACAAGCCCCGTTTGAACAGATGCTTGATGCGGTTGCTGTGAAATAGCAACTTGATCGATATTCTGATTGTTTTGTGGTTGTTGAGCTTGAGAGACTACAATTTCATTGATTTGCATCGGTCTAAATGCCAGTAAACGCAATACTGTCATTTCAAAGCCTTGCTCTTGTGTTACTGCAAGTTGTAGCTCCGCTCGACCTTTATTGGCAATTTGGTAATAAAGCTGTAAATCTTGTGCAGAAACAATTTTTGATAACTGCATAATTTTTTGATTAATTTCAGCACTGTATTTTAGACTTAAATCAGGCAAATATTGCAACATTGCCAACTCATGCAAAGTCGAAATAAACTGATCTAAAACCAATGAAACATCTAAAGCCTGTTGCCTAAATTGTAGTAATAATTGGCTGACACGTGCATTTTGGTTTTGATGAATTGCCAAGATCAAATCATAAATGATGGTTCTATCAATCAAACCCAGCATTTCTTTGACATCTTGATGATGAATTGCACCTTGACCATAGGCAATTGCTTGGTCAGTTAAAGACAACGCATCACGTAATGAACCTTGGGCAGATTCAGCAATTTGCCAAATCGCATCTTGCTCTGATGAAATTTCTTCTTTATTTAAAATATCTGTAAGGTGATGGGTAATTTCATCTACAGCCAATGGACGTAATGTAAATTGCAAGCAACGTGAAATCACCGTAATTGGTAATTTTTGTGGATCTGTTGTCGCAAATAAAAATTTTACATGTTCAGGCGGTTCTTCTAATGTTTTCAATAACGCATTAAAGGAATGCGTCGACAGCATATGTACCTCATCGATCAAATATACCTTAAATCGACCTTGGGTCGGTGCATAAGGTACATTGTCGAGCAACTCACGTGTGTCTTCGACTTTAGTCCGTGATGCAGCATCAATTTCAATAAGGTCAATAAAGCGCCCTTCATTTACCGCCTTACAAGTTGCACAAACTTCACAAGGTGTAGAGGTTACCCCTGTTTCACAATTTAAACATTTCGCTAAAATTCGAGCAATTGTGGTTTTCCCCACCCCACGTGTTCCAGTAAATAAATAGGCATGGTGTAAACGTCCACGATCTAAAGCACTGGTCAGTGCACGTGAAACGTGATTCTGTCCGACCAATTCATTAAAGTTACGTGGGCGATATTTACGTGCAAGTACCTGATACATGGAAGCTCCTAGTTACAGGTCTAAGGATACTGTTTTTTTGCTGATTAGTGAATGAAGAACTGTAGAGTTATTTTTTATTAGAGATAATTCGATCAATTTCTTCTAATTTAACACTGTGCTCTACAATATAAAGTTTATCTATCTCTTAAATAGATTTAAAAACAA